GGAATTCAACGCGACCGAGTTGCAGATTGAGGTTAGCCATTCGATGCAGGACCACATCCTCGCGTTTGCCACGGACCCGTTCAACGGCCCGCAAGCACTCGGCTGGCAACCAATGGACACGAGACTTGCTAACGGTGGTGATCTCTTGCGCTTCGGGGGGTCCAGTGGAGAAGCATTTGTTCACGTTGATGGCATTGAGGTGGATGGTGTATGCCTTGGAATTCGCGAGCACGACCCCTTTCCGTGATAATGTGTCCAAAGGGGAAGTTCATGGAGTCATCCCAACCACTGCTAGAGTAATCTTTTGTGCCTTCAAGAAGCTCCTCGAGCAAGCGGCGGACGGGTAGTCTGATCAATAGTGTAATTGACCGTACGCATGTACTGAAATATTTACCGTCACCAACAAGCCGTTGCCAGTATGACCATTCTACATTACAAGATGCTGTATTTTGAACCCGATGACAGGTCAGCTTGCCTACGATCTGATACTTATCAACCAGGAACTGACCAATTTCAGCTAGATCGTAGTGTTCGGCCTTGTAATTGGACAATCTCTATTCCTCCACCAGTTACCAATTTGGCAGAACCTCTAATACAACCGTTAGGAAGATCTACGGTTCGACTGATAGTGCCAAAGGAGGGTCCGCCCGGCAACCGCGCTTCGGGCATGAGGCACGGAAGGCGTGGACAGCGCGTTCCTTGACTACAGCAAGTTCTCGATAAAAGGCAGCGCTGCGATTCACTGCCAAGTGAGGACTCGTTATGCGACGCTTGAGGTTGGGGATCCATCGAAGGTAAAGATTCCGGAGCGTATGCAGTGGCTTGGGGTCTTGGATTTACCACATGGGAACCTATATGTCAGGGGCAGGTCGACTGCTGGCGATTTATCGGCGTGCTTATTCTTATTGGAAGTCTTGCTTTCGTAGGCTCTAGGCTCCAACAAAAGCAAGTGCCTCGAATGGGCGCAATTCCAGCTGCCCATCGGAGCCGAGAGAGAAGCCCGATGCCGCCCGAGTCCCATATGTCGATAGAACCACGTTCTCCTCCACAAGAAGACTTCTCTTCTCAGCAGGTACAGTCCAGGTGCAAGGCTCATCTGTGAAGTTGAGCACGACCAAGGCCTGATCCTCACCCTTGTCAGCGGTCCGAGTGTAGCTCAGCACAGACAGGTTCTCAGGGTCATGCATCTCGAAAGCACCGTAAACAAGAAGGTCCCGGTGCTGCTTGCGAATTTTCAACCCGGCACGCCAGTGATGAAGCACGCTGTTCGCGTTGCTCTCCTCCGCCTTGGCGTTCCACCGAGTGTAATCATCGTTTACTCTCATCCACGGCGTGCTAGCCGAGAAGCCTGCATTCTCCGAAGCGGTCCACTGTTGATTGGTGATTAGCAGGCCTTCTTATGATCAGGTCGATATCCACATACCTGGACGGGAGAACGAGCATGGTCTCTAGCCTTCAGATGAATCTCTTTCCACAGTTCCTGAATTCCCTTCTCGTCACCAGCCAGCCTTTCGATAGCTCTGCATAACAAGTCAGTGTACGTGTGTATGCATTGGGTGTCGCAGTGTCATCTCAACATACTCTCGGTACGCATTCTGCGTCTCAATGTCTTTGTACTCTTCGATTCCCCAGGTCTTGGGCAGGCTTCCCATACCAAGCTCTTGCCCCTGGTAGACGAACAGGGTACCTCCGAGCGTGCACAGCAATGTTGCCAGCATCTTTGCCGCCAACTCTCTGTGCTCAGGCCGGTGACGTGTGAAGCGGGATACTGAGCGAGCCTGATCGTGGTTTTCCAAGAACATGGCGTTCCAGCCACCTACCCTTCGGGCGAATGTCTGCCACCTGTTGATGATGGCCTTGAAATCCGGCAAAGTCCAGTCATGGCGGGAAAACTTGCCACCAGATCCAATGTCCATGTCGACGCTGTGCAGACTCATGTTAGAACGCCGAGACCTCCAAGCCAGGTGGGCACACTTACATGTCAAACTGGAAGATGGTGTGGAGCTCCTTGCGGTCCGATGCGACGATCTTGCCGACCTGATCGTCATCCTTGACGCCAGGCATCTCACCGACGCTGAAGGCATTGTACTTATCCAGAAGCGTCCTCAGCCCTCGAAGATGCTCGTGAAGCCTCGGGCCGTTGCAGAACAGCGCCGTTGCATCCTGGTACGGCTGCTCAGGTCGGGTGACGGGGGCATCTGGCAGACCGGGCTCCTTGGAGATGAAGTTGATGACGTCCATGCGAAAGCCATCGGCGCCTTTCTTCAGCCAAAAGTCCATGATTTCGTGCACTTCGCTGACGACCGAGGGATTGTCCCAATTCAGGTCCGGCTGCTGGGGAGCGAACAAATGCAGATAGTACTCGTCCGTCGTCTCATCGTAAGTCCAAGCGCTGCCTGTCGAGTCGGCACGTCAGAATTGATATCCAACCAATCTTTGAGAGGGTGACTGACCTCCAAAGGCGGCTGCCCAGTTGTTGGGGGGTTGCCTGTTGCCAGCAGCATCGTAGCGAGGCTTTCGCCAGATGTACCAATCCCTCCAGGGGCTGTCCACCGACGACTTTGACTTTTGAAACCATTCATGCTAAACGAAGTCAGCATCGACATCAGTGTTGACAGGTATCAGGCAGGGGTTCCCACCTGATCAGATGAGTGGTTGACGACGAGGTCGAGGATGAGCTTCATGTTGCGGTCATGTAAGCCGGCGATGAGCTTCTCAACGTCCTCGACAGTTCCGTAGGGCGGGTGAATGGCGCGGTAATCTGAAATATCGTACCCCATGTCGATCTGGGGTGAGGCGAAGACTGAGATCACACAAGTCAGATTTCTGAGCATCCAGGTCATGATGAAGCCTCCTTGGGTTTCGGACCAAGTGGATGCAGGAACATACTGGGACAAAGCCACACAGCGTCAACCCCCAGACTCTGAAGGTAATCCAGCTTTTCGATTACGCCAGGGATATCACCGAGACCATCGCCATTACTGTCTCGGAAAGACGCCGGATAGATCTGGTATATCGTAGCTTCTTTCCACCAAAGCCGTTGAGACTCGCTCGAGAGGCTCTGGTTCGTTTTGACGACTGTCATTTTGCACGGCAAGATGATACAAGGCAAGAGAAAGAAATCGACTGGCGATGAAATCTACACGCTGATACACCAAGGAACACAGGGGGCAGATGGACTGGATGCTTGGAGCTTATATGAGCCAAAGCCTCGAAAGGCACGGGGGTGACGATAGCGACTGCCGCTCGTATGCTCGCTGAATTGCCCGCCCAAGCTGTCTGGGGCTCATTGGCGCTGCAAAACGGCACATTACCACTTGAGGTAATGTGCCTTCTTGTGGCGGTGCGGAGAACTGAAGCTGCAATGGGCGCGCGGGGTAGATCAGCAAGCCCGGCTGGTCTATGGTGGGTGATGAGACGACATGGTAGGGAACCGCCTTTCGTGGGCGCACAGGTCTTCATCGAAAGACGTCCACCAGTACACGACCAACATTTCGCATGCACCAAGTTGAGTTCGGCGGGCGAACAGTTGGGATCCACTCGATTTTGTTGCCAAAAAGACTGCTTCATTGATGATTTACTCCGACATGTACATCGGACCTCCTCGAGCCGGAGATGGGGCTTGCTCCATGTAGTCATCACGTGACTAGCGCTCACTCACTGGCCTTCCCCACAGCAAGCACTAGGAGTGGGGGCAAGCACGACAGTAGACAGCTTCCAGCTTCCAGCTTGAAGCAACGAGCTTCCATCGCCGGCATCACCAGTCCTCCAACCTAAGCTCGGTCCGACGTGCGCGCAAGCCATCAAACTCAACCCACGAGTACCTCGCCTCGCCACGACACATACCACACCTACGAGCCGTCCCTCGTCTCGCACCGCCACCATGCCGTCCGAACGCGACTACCAGATCGCCCCGATCGTCCAAGAATCCATCATACACAACACAAAGGTAAAAACATGGCCCTTCCCCCCTTCCAAAGACACGAGCACGTCTCCGCATGCATGCGCAGGTACTGACAGCCCTCCTCCCGCCGCCGCAGTCCCTGTCCAACCTCCAGAACATCACGGCCTCCCTTTTCGGCGTCGCCGCCGGCATCCTCGGTCTCGAGTCCTACGCCGGCTTCCTCTTCTACTTTGCCCTGGCCGCCCTCGTCACGACCCTCACCTACGTCCTGCGCATCGCCCCCACGTCCACCGCCGCCGGCCTGCCGCCGCTGAGCACGGCGCGCTACTTCCGGTCGCCTTTTGACTTTTGGGTCGGCGGCATCTTCAGCGGGCTGCCGGGCTTCATCTTGACGTGGACGCTGTTCTTCGGCATCGTGCGGGCGTGACGGAACGCTGGCGGCGCGCAGAGGGGGAACGGGGGGGAGAAATCAGGCGACAGCAGGAGCATAGTATGGCGTCAGGAGTCAAAATGGTACATAGATCCTGAAGATATGACTTTTTCTGTTTCCTTCGTTTGAAGTGACACTGCGCATTGCGAAAGCATGGACCGCTGCTCATTCAGGTGCTGGGACATCAACAGAGGATTCGGCTTTGACTTGGAAGGAAAGAAAATAGTGTATAGTTGCGCAACGCTATCAGACCGAATGATGAAAAAAGTGCAGTAAAAATGATACAGAAACGTCCAACAAAAAACCAATGCAGATGCAACGCGCTCAGTCAACAATCTCTACAATGTTCCCGACATAGCCCTCCAGTCCAGACCGATCATTGCGCCCGCCCTCGAGAATGACAACCTGCGAGCCAAGCTCGATCCACTCCCGGCTCGTCAGCAGCTCCAGCACAACCTCCACGCCCGTGGGCCTCATGGCATCCTCGTCCTGGTCCACAGCGAATATTTCCTCGACCTCGTCGGTCGCGGACGCGGCCTTGTGCAAGCCGTTGCGGGCGCGAAGCGTAGACAGGCCCAGCACACGCGCCGCCGCCCGGACGGTCCCGCAGTAGACGTTGACGAGCGTGCCGATCATGAGCGACGCGGCGTTGAGGTCGTGGAACACGGCCGTCAGACCACTCGCCGCCTGCAGGGACATGCCCGTCTTGAGCATGTGCTGCGGCGGCACGGCGAGGACCATTCCCTTGCGTATGCGGGGCGCCTCGCGCGCCGGCGGCTCGAGACTGCCCTCTGATGAGCCGGCCGGCGGCGGCATGTCGAGCAGGATGCCGATCGTGCCCACCTGCCCGGCTGACAGGGTCCGCACTCCGAGACGCAGGTTGCGGATGCTGACAATCCTGGCGTTGTGCCATTCGCCCTTGATGGTCGATGCGGCGACGGCGTTACGGATCGCCACCCTAGCCAGTTCGGCAGACGACGGGTGCGATATCGAAAGCTCATAGCCGCCCCCGGGCGACGGACGTTCCTCCGGCGTTCTGCCCTTGAAGTCATCGTCATCTGACGGAAACGGCCCCGCCACGATTGTGTCGCCTACGGAAAGATGGCCGAAGCGCAAATAGCCCGAGACCACGATTCCCAGGTCTGAATGCGAGCCATTTTCAGTAATGGAAGCAAAATCAGCAGGGCGGCTGAACGTGTCGTCAATATGGAACACCGATGAGGGCTGCTCGGGGTTCAAAGCCTCTCCGACGAAGTCATGAGCTGTGGGGACGCGGGGGAGAGGAAGTTCCTTCAAGAGAGCGTGCATCAAGCCGATACCAGCACCGCTTACAGCGCTGGTCAACACGATTGGCACCAACTTGAGGAGGTCATCCCCCTGGGCCAAGTCACCGAGGGCACCCTTCACCTTGGCCGAGTCCGACGCAGATATGACCGAGGGGCTCGGAGGCTCATTCTGCGCAGGCTGCAGGATTTTGGGGATTCGTCCAGCTTCCTTGATGAGCGTCAATACCTTGCCCAGGACTCTCTGAATGCTGGTCTTGGTGGCGAGGTCGAGCTTCGTGATGGCTACGACAAGAGGCGTCTTGAGCTTCAGACACAGCTCAAGGTGCGCTTTGGCAAGGTCGACGTTGGCACCGTCAGATCCCAGCACATCTTGCGCCGAGGAGCTGATGCCATCCTTGGCCGAGTTCGTTTCCAGGTCGTCGGCTGCGAGACACAAGACCGTCCACTGAGGTGCCCAGCCGACGAGGCCTCGCAGAATCGTCCGCCGGAAGCGCGGGTGGCCGGCCGAGTCCGACACGAACACGAGGCGCCCATTTTCCGACTCAAAGTGAATATCGAGCCACGACTCGACGTGGGCTTTCGCGTAGTTGACGATCGTGTCGTCCTTGTAACCGAGAAGCTCCTGCGCGACGGAGCTGGTCATGCCGGAGACGACTTCGTGTCGATGCTTGAACAAGCTGAGCCTGCTCCTGCCGCGGCCGTTGTCCATTGTGCTCGTTGACAGAGTGCCCAGCAGCGTCGATTTACCAGAGGTCGTCGGTCCCGTCAATGTGACTCGCAGTTGATCGGTCACGGACCGGCTCGTGCTCGGGCTCTCGCTCTTGTCGATGCCCGACGCAGCAACCGCGTCCTGTTTTGGCAAGCCGTTTCGAGACCCTGCGTCCCCGCTTCGAGATCCAAAGTCCGGCGTGACGAACGCCTCGGCAACACGCAGCGTGCCGTGCCGAAGCGTCTGCGCCGGAACCGAGGCACTATTGTCAACGAGCTCCGCCGTCTCGGGCCACTCGCACTCCCCGACAATGACTTGGCGAAGCAGGTCGACTCGGCAGCCCAAGGTCGCCGCCATGACCCGCAGTGTGACGATGCTCTCGTCCATCTCATCCTGCGTCAGACCGACAAGGGTCCCGTCGTCGGAGACGCCAATCTCATACAGCGCGCCGCGCGACTCCTCGAGCCCGAGCACGGGCCTCTGCACCTTGAGCGCCTGGTGCAGGTCGACGGCGTCGTCGGGCAGCCTGGGCACGACGAGATCCTTCGGCTTGAGAACGTGGTAGGGCGACGACTGCTGCAGGCGCCAGAGCAGCTGGGTCGTCAGCTGCTGCAGGCGGATCTGGCGCGACTCGGTCGACGTGGCCGAGAGACCGCGCGGCTCCATCTTGACGGCGACGGCGGCGCGCTTGGAGTCGGGCACGGTGCTCATCGACTTGTACCGGCGGCGGGGGCGCAGCAGCAGATGGAGCTGTACTCGGTGGGGCCCTCCTGCGGCTCGGCCTCCAGCTTGGTGACGCCGTAGTCGGACAGCATGACGGGTTCGAGCGGCTGGTCGTGGGAAGACGCCTGTTGGAGGGCCGGCGTCGAGGCTTTCGGGCGGCCGCATCGTCTGGTCCCAGCCACGGCGACGACACCCTCTGGGGGTCTGCGTCGAAGGTGAAGATGGAGCCCGAGGCCATGGTTGCGGCCCTTGGTTGGCGGTGTGTGTTGTGTGTTGTGTGTGTGTGTGTGTGTGTGTGTGCAGGCGTGTAGGTGTATGGTGTCACTCAAATATGCAGGATCGAGAATGCGTCGAGAAGACCAGTTCGTATTGCGAAAGTGTTCAAGAGGGTCAAAGGGGCATGTGCAACTTTGTGTAATCGAGGTATCATCTTGGCAATGTGGGTGAATCTCCAAAGGGGGTGGTGGCTATGCCTCTTCGTCGGCATGTGTTTGCGTGTTTGCGGGTAGACAACGTATTCTCAGAAGAGCGACGACATGGCTCCTTGAGCGTATCGTGGGAAGGTCTGTGGCTGGCTGCTTGGTGCGATGGGTGATGGTGGAAGAAGATGCCAGACACCAGAGGATGGCAAGAAGCAGACGTTGACGAAATGAGAGAGGCGAGTTGAAGTCAGGCACGACACGTCTGCATGAGTCCTCCCGGCCGGGTGTGACGCAGGCCGCCGCTGTTGTCACTACTTGCTGTGACCTCTCTGGCCCATCCAGCGCCTTGGTGGGGCACAAGGTACAAGTCCTGCTGCAATGGGTAAGCCTGGACGGAAGTACTTGCCAGCACCACCATGCGACGCCACATCACCCGCCGACGCTGTACAGCTTGCAGGCTGTACAGCTTGCAGCTTGGAGCTTGCATCTTGCCATTCATGGTTGCACCTATATGGTCACAGGCAACAGGCAAAAGTTTCGATACCGTCCGAGGTACATGTAGTGCCCATAGAATCGTCGACAGCCCACGGTGGCAGTCAACACACATGCGGTTGACAAGAGATATGTCTTGCGCAAGTCTATCCAATCCTTTCGCTACCTATGATGCAACATACAACGTGGCCCTGTCTACAGATCAGATCGCGCCATGATGCGACCAAGCGCCCTCTCCCTCTGCCTCTGCCTCGCCTTTCGGCTGCCCAGGAGCCCGGCCAGCGCATCAAGATGCAGCAAGTGACCTCTGCGAATGTACACAAAGACCGTGTACGTCGCGCTCGCCGATGCAACGGCGGCGACGGAGAGCAGAGACGGCCACCTGAACTGCTCCGGGCGGAAGAAGATGATGGTTGCGATGTAGGAGAGGAGCTCAAAGGCATTTTGCCACGCCGCCTCGACCGTGGAAAACACGCCACGACTCTCGGGCTCGACATCCTGGTCACACCGTGTCAGTGGCGGGCGATGCGTAACACCTCGGTCGGACTACAGTCAGAGCACGTACCTCTTGCACGATAATCTGCGTGCACATGTCGAAGCCTCGCAAGCCCAGTCGGCTCAAGATCGTTCCGCCGACAAGGCCCGCTGTCGAGAGAAGAGGTCGCTCAGCCTCAAAGACCCAAAAAGACGGCAAAGCCTGCGACGAGCATGGTGACTTGGGCGATGCTCATCCACAAACCGGCCCTGACCGGCCCGATGCGTCCCATCAACCAAGGGGCCGCCCACGTGGCCAAGACCTCGAACGCCACACCCAGCGTTCTCGCGAGACTGATAATCGTGGCGGTGAATCCGGTATACAGCAGATACGTGATCATCTGGCCGGCAAAGTTGAGGACGGTCAGGTAGAGAAAGGCGCCCGCGATCGACGGCAGGAATGCGCGATGGCGAAAGTAGAGGCGAAAGTCGGCGAAAGACTGCTTCGCCATGCGTGGCAAGTAGCCTAGCAAAGACCCAAGGCGGGTTTGCGAGTCTCCCGAAGACCCTGCGTCTGTCGATTCTCCTCCTGCGGCCTGCTTTGGCTCCCGGAGTGCTGGAACATCATTGTACACCCGTGCTATGGCATAGTACTCGGCCACCACGGACGCAATGTTCATGGCAAAGTTGACGACGAGAGCCAGCTGCACCGAGACACCTTCGATCATGGCAATGAACAAGGGCCCTAGTAGCTTGCAGAACAGATCGATGCGACGCATCTGTGAGTTCATCTGCATCATGCCATCCTGATCGCCGTCTGCCACGACGACGACCCAATCCTTCTCCACTGCCACCATGTTCATGATGGAGCAGATCTTTTCGACGCATGCAAAGAGAGAGAGGACCACGAGCACACCCGCTTCGCCAGCGCGACCCAGGGGTAGCCCGAGCACCAGGACGTAGAAGGCGGCGCAGGAGATGGCCACGGCGATGCGCTGGAAGACTGTGCCATCAAAGTCAGCCACCGGAATTCGGTCGAGGCAAAGGAGCGGAGAACGTACCAATGGAGATGCGAACCACGCGCAAGCGATTGCCCGTATCTATGAACTGGCCGATGGCCGGGGCAAAGACGATGGCGGAAAGCCCACGGATGAAGGCATACACTGACATGGGCATCAACGTGTCTGGAAAGATCGTGGCCAGGTAGATGACGGCGCCGAACTCAAAGACGCGCGAGTTCCATGTCGACAGGAAATGCGACAGATACAACCGGCGGGCCGTCTTCTCGTGCCCTTGGTGCGCTGGTGTGCGGTCGTCACCTGGTCGCTCATAGCCGAGCAAAGGAGCCTGCTCATCGAGGCGCTCCTCGTCGGGATTCCCTAGTGCTGCCATTGGATGGAAAGAGAAACCAGAAAAGGCAAGATCCTCATGGTCAACACAATTGGGATTGCTGCGACATGGTTGGGAGGAAAAGGTCAAGTTTTGAAGCACTCGACGCTACCGGGATGAGGGCCTTGTTGGCCTGAATCGAACACGACCCTCGCTGGTCCGAGTCGAACAATTCGGCCCATGGCGATCCGCCGACCATCGAAACCCTGGGGTGCCTGGCTGGCCTGGTCCTGACGGCATGGATCCATCACCATGACCGGCATCGGGGCTGGGGCATGGAGATGTGTAGCGTGGAGCGAATACGACACAGAGCTCCGTCAACTGGATCTTCACTCTCTGCTGGACTACATCTTGCATTCAAGCGTCAAGGTAAGGAAGCTAGCTGATGCTTGAGAGAGAAAATGATTGGCGATCGTATCGGAACGAGCTTGCCCACTCAGCACCAGGCGTCTGCCTGAGATGCCTACAAGTACCTACCTAGGTACCTACTTAGGTAAGGTAGGTAAGGTAGCCTAGTGCCTAGGTAGGTAGGTACCTCAGGAAGAAGGCATTGGTGGAGGGGCGCCTAACAGCCGTGACGATCGCCACGAGCGAACCAGATGCAGGGTCTCAGCACACCTGGCTGCTATCTGAGTCGATGCCTCGTAGGTACCGCGTGTAGTGGGGGCTGAGCACAACACCTAGCACCACGGGCAGGCAAGTCAGAGGCAAGTCAGGCTAGCTACACAGCACAAAGTCGAGTGGAGCCACACACGCCCCCCGCCTCAGCCCCCCATCACGCATCAGCGTTTAGGGGCTCGGAGAGGGTCCCCTGGTGGGCTCTAAGGGGGGGTTCCCTGACACCTCTGGGGGGGCCTCCTTGTCGGGCTCAGACCTTTGCATCCCAAACCTCTTTCCTCGAAACAAACCCAAGACAAACAGTTGGCATTGGGCTCACCTTTGCCACCTTGTCAACCGATCATTCAAAATCAGTCCTCCCCCTCGATTGAGACTGACTTCTACACCTTGCCTCCCGATCCCTATTGAAGCCCGAAAACTCTCCCTCATTCACGCAGAATAGTCGACAGCAGCCCCTCACCTACGTACCGAAAGACACAGCATATACCTGCGACCCCACCGATCCCGAACTGCCACCATGAAGAAGTTTGGCTTTGGCAGCAAGAAGGGGGGCGACGACGGCGGTGATGACGATGCTTCCCGCAGCGCCCTTTTCGGCCGCAAGAAGTCTTCTCAGCCGCCCGCCGGTGACAACCCCTACGCTCAAGCCCCGCCAGCCAACGACCCCTACGCCCAGAGTTCCAAGTCCGCCGCCGCCTCGGCCCCCTACCAGCAACAACGCCCGGGGGGCTTCCAGTCGAACCCCTACGGCGGCGGCGGCGGCGGCAGCTCTGGCGGCCTCCCCGGTGGTCCCGGGCCCCGTCGAAACCCCTCCGGCAGCGGCGCCTCGACCTACTCGCAACCGCCGCCTCCCTACGGCGGCGACGCCAACGAGCGATCCAGCAGCGGGTACGGCGCCGACAGGTACGGTGCGTCGGGCGGCTACGGCGATAACCGCTACGACAACAGCGGCGGCGGCAGCGGCGGTGGCTATGGCGGCGCCAACAGGTACGGAGCATCCTCGGCCGCATCAGCACGCGGGCCCGGCGGCTACGGCGGTCTCGGCCGCACCAACTCGAACGACACGGACGCCCAGCGCGACCAGCTCTTCTCGGGCGCCCAGCAGCGCAACCAGCAGCGCCAGCAGGGGCGGCAACAACAACGGCTACGGCCAGGACAACGCCGGCGGCTCCTCCTCCGCCGCAGCTGGCGCCGAGGGCGACCCGTACGGCGGCTACGGCGCCGAGCGCGAGCTCACCGAGGAGGAGATCGAGGCGCAGGAGGTCCGCGACGTCAAGAAGCAGATCCAGGACACGCGGCAGGAGTCGATCAACTCGCTGCAGCGGTCCATTGCGCTGGCGCACCAGGCCGCCGACACGGGCATCAACACGATGAACATCCTCGCGCGGAA